ATTTAATAGGCTGTACAAGTTAGTCATGTGGTGCTCACATCATATACTTTTTAATATTCAAATCATTTTTTCATTAAGTATTCTAAATTAGTTCTTTTGAGCTACAGTAACTCAAACTATAATACATGTGGTGATCAAAAACGGTTATGAAATGAATTTTTTTATGCCTTCAAACATGATATGTTCTTCAGAAAGCAAAGAATAACTCAAGAACAGAATTTAAAGATTTAAGTGTACTCGTATTACTTTTCCAGCAGTTAAAATAGAATTTGAGAAAAATCCAATTACTTTTGCATTGTGGTTGATAAGAAGAGAACTAGATTCCATCTGTAAAAGGATTTTTAATTTAATCCACTCTTTTTTGGTTTAGCGTAGTTTTATACCACTCAGCTTATTTCATCCGGGCATGTGCCTTGCTAGCAGAAAGGCATTAGTCAGGTTTTTCATTGTTATTCCAAGATAAGACTCTTATTTATATATTTAGCTCTCAGTTCTATTCCATCTTTTTATTTTATGTGTTACTCTTTTCGATTTATAATGCATTTTTATATATTTAAGATGGAAAGCATTACTATTATTATTAGTAGTAATATTGTTATTATTATTACAATATACTCCTGGTTAACCGGGTTAATAAGAACCGGAGAAGACGTACACTTTTACTGAAAAGTGCTGGACAATCAGAAGGTAGTTAAAAATACACAGAAACAGAAGAATAATTAGTATAATAATCAAGTGAAAAATATTATTGCGAATTTGCCTGTATTTTTTAGAAATTTAATAATTTCACTTTAAATTGAATCCACATTCAAATTAAAGAGTATCGTAAATAACGGAAGAATAAATATAATAATAGCTGAAAAACTGAGTTGTAAACAACAGTATTTACATGAGAAATTGAACAATATCACTGATTTAAAACTTACGTAAAAAAGTCCATTAGAGCAATTTTTAAGCAGTATTTTTATAAAGATGCTATTAGTTTGAAAGCTCAACTTTTTTGTTCTTATCACATTTATGTCCGTATCATTTTTAAAATGTTGCCACCAAATGTTATTGTCATGTGTTAGTATTAAAGGATTAATACAGTGAATATAAAAAATAGCATGTGAGACCACAAGTAAAAAAGGTTGTTGTCACCAAATGTTATCGATGTGTCTTCTTTTTAACAAAATAATATAAGAAATATATAAAAAAAAGGCATGGCTATACAAATAACAGTATGTTGCCACCAAATGTTATATCTATGTGCTACTTTTAAAGAAATAATAGAGCGAATTAAAAAAAATGGTTTATAGCAACATTTAACACTTTATAGGGTATTCTAAAAGTATTCGATATAAAATATTGTTAGAAACTCCCAGCTGCGGTAGGATAGCTTCCCCGCAAAGTGGGATTAGGGTTACCAGAAAATGGCTAGGGAAGGCGGGGTTGCCAGATTTGGTGCGAAATCGTCGAATTGGCAAAGAAATTGGATATGCCATTGACGAATGGAGAACATTCTGAAATGAATTCTTACCGGTTTGGCCCAGAAAGTTCTCAAAGGCAGGCCAAAAGCTATACAAACCCTGCTTGTACGCGGAATAGCAGTCTTTCGTCTGTGTATCGCGAGTTGGTGCATCGAGAGCGTACATCTTTGAGGCTATTGAGTGTATTGTCTAGTGCATCGTTAAGTTGTAGCCTGGAGAGTCTCGAAAGTACGTTGAGTTCCGAGAACGATCGAAGGAGATCGACGAAGGATCGACTCGGGAGCGGCACTCTACGTTTTACTGTGAAGCTGTCTTCACCGTTATAGCATAAGGCTGTGTTGCTGATTCTTTCAGCGTGTTCGTCGTAGATTTTCGACGACTGTAAACGTGTTTTTTGGAGCTGTCCTGAGTAATACTGGCTAATTAACTAGTTTCTCATTATTCATCAAGTGCTGTCGTTAATCACTCCAAATCCACGAACCCGCAGAATGCAAAAATATTTTTAACTTCCACGCATCAGTTTCCTGTCTTTCGACGAAGCGTAAGATATTTAATTTTCGTTCTAAATTTATTCTGGCTGTTACAGATTAACAAATTAAGCGATTTAAGATCAATAAACACAGCTCTTTTTCACTGATTAATAAACTATGCGATTTAAAATCAATAAATGCAGTTCTTTATTTTATTTTATTTTATTTTGTCAATTACTAGCTGTAACCTTGAAATAACACTAACTGGATTTATTAAAAACATTACATATATTTTTTTCTTTTCTATAGCATTTATTATAGGTGGCTGGTCGTGTCCGCGGCTAGTTATTTGAAAAGGGAAACTGACAACAAAAGTGTTTCGGAGCAAAAGAAAGGTTCCAGAATAATAGCTCATCTAGCTTCTGCGCTAAAAATTGCAGGCCAACACTGAACGTTGTATCGGGAATTCTAAAGATATACTATTTTTGAAAAATTTTTAGCACAAAAGGGCGTTGCCCGAAAGGGCTATTTGTTTCGAAACGTAATTTTGCTTCGTCAGCTATAAATCAGTATCTGTTTCTGTATTAGACTGTATCAGTTTTAAAATTGTTGCTCGTAAATATTATCGCCTTGTATTATTTTTAAAGAAAATAAATAATGAAGAATCTGTATCTATGCATTTATGTACGTTCCTCGTAGTGTGTAAAAACGATGGTACCTAGAGACATCAAATATTGAATAACGCAGTCCTCCACCCGAACATATGTACCTGAAAGCCCGATTCTGAATTTCGAATTATAGATTTTGTATTTTTTAAAATTCAATGAATGTTTGATTAACTAACGATTAACAATGGTTTGAAAGCAAGCAGTAGCAACACTCTACAGAATAAAATATTTCCAGCACGCGAGATTGTCTATGAGAAATTCTAAAGATATGCTGTTTTTAAATATTTTGTGATTTTTCCGTTGAATTGAATTTTTGGGGCGTAAATGTGAAAAACATGATATTTAATAAATGAAGTCAACAACAAAACGTTAAAAATTAAATGACAAAAAACGTTTTGCAAGCAAACTTGCTAAGAAAGCTGAATGTTCGCATAATGAACTCAAAAAAGACTGAAAGAAATGGAAAAGTGTATGCCACAGCGTCGAGAATTCTGAACATATGCTGTTATGCTCATTTTAAGCTTTTATAATTTTTCTGTTGAACTGGATATGGTATAAGGGTGAAGAAAATAATGCTTAAAAATAAAGCAAAAAAAAAAAAAAAAGGTTAGCAGGAATGAGTGCAAGAGCAGAATGTTAGCCTGAGAGCTCAGCGAAGTGCGTAAAAAACTTAATAAATCCTTTTGAGCGATCGTTAAAATCTGAAACCTTTCAGATGTTTTAAAAAAATATGCTGTATAAATATGAAATGAAGAGAGTGGTGCTTAATAATAAAGTTAAAAAGAAAACAAAAAAGTTGTTTTAGCAGGAGTGAGTCCAAGAGTAGATCGGTAAAAACGAAATTAAATAATAGAGAATCTGCCTATATATATGTAGTACATCCCTCGCAGTGTGAAATACGACGGAACCCCTAGAGCCATCAGAATTTGAATAACGTAATCGTTGGTATTCTTTGAAATTTATTGTTGTTATGTTAATTTATTAAAGCGAGGTATTCTTTGAAATTTATTGTTGTTAATTTATAAAAGCGAGGTGTGCGTAGTTCGTAGATTTGTTCGTTGCCTAGATTGGGCCATTCGTAGATTTTTTTAAAGTTTAAACAGGATGTTGTGTACATGGTATTCTTTGAAATTTATTGTTGTTAATATATTAAAGCGAGGTGTGCGTAGTTCGTAGATTCGTTCGTTGCCTAGATTGTGCCATTCGTAGATTTTTTATAAGTTAAAACATATCGCTGTGTACATGGATTCTTCTCAAATATTTTGGTTAGAAACTTTACGTTTTTGTTGTAAATTTTTGTTTTGTTTTGGATTTTAAGCTTAAATTGTGTGTCAAACGTGGTTTTGTATGTACGAAACCGGCGTTTTGGAGACATTTTAGGCTTAAAGTACGAAATGTAGACCAAAAATGTAGATAGTAACATGGCAGCGTGGAGTTTCTCGCCAAAAATGTTTGGCGAGAAATTTGGCGACTTAAGAGCGCATATCAGAGTAGTTCCGAAAACTGACCTCATAAACTTAGAAAAGACTGAAAAATATAGAAATATGCATGCCAACATTTAACAATTCATCGGAAAACCTAGACGTAAAATCCTTCTAATTACGTAGTAAAGTCTTCCTAGGATATAACACAGACAACCATAATCAGTCTGTTGTAGCTTACTCCAAGTTATCACATTATATTATATATATATATATAACATTCTCTATTCGTAAAAAGCAAATTAAAATAATGAAATTTAATTGCAAACAAAAAAAAATTATTGCTGCGACTAATCTACAATATCATTTAATCTGAGAGCATATGTAAATCAAGTGCAGTATCAAATCCATGAACAAAAATATACGAGGCGTAATTAAGTAATCACATAGGTATAAATCAATTTTAATGACTTACAAGTAATTGCATTCATTCCTTCTATGTAATCACCCAAAGCTCAACCTTGCCAAATGTCGGGAAGCTTTGTAGACCAGTGCAAGGTGTTTGATTGTTGATGTGAGCGACCGAGCGCCCTACTGTGGAGTAAAGATGAAACGTCATGAAATCGGTGACCTCGAGGTTTCCTTCAACTTCGGAAACAGATTGAAGTCACAAGGACTCATGCCGGGTGAGTAGGGAGGGTGTTCCAGGATTTCACACTGCCACCGTCGCAAAAGGAGAGTGACATTGTTTGCGACATGGCGTCATGCAACACGATATGCAGATTGCTGTGCAATAAACGTGGACGTTTGCGCCGCATAGCCGGACGCAGATGGTGCTGTAGAAATCGGCAATAGTAATCTGCGTTGACAGTTTGTCCTTCAGGTACAGCATGTGTAAGAATCACACCGTCCCAGCCGTATGCCTTCATTGCGGTATCTCTTCAAGTGGGTGCCAGCCAGTGCATACCGGTGTCATTTCTGTACTTCGGTTAGTCGATGTGGAACCCAGCGGGAAGCAATTTTCCTCATGTTGAGATATTTCTTCATTATGCGCCACACCGTTTGATGACTCAGACCAACCTCTAAGGATAATTCTCGGACAGTCTGTCGGCGGTCTATGGTAAGAAGACCGCTCAGGATATCAATCTGCTCTTGAGGAATGGAGGGCCGACCTGTGCGTTGCAAATCCGCAGTCTCTTTCCGACCCGAACGAAATGCTTGAACCCATCGTGCTACTGTCCTATACGGTAAAGCATTTGTGCCACAGGCTTCCACTAATCCTCGATAGCATTCTGTTGCATTTTTGCCACTTGCAACTTCGATTTTAAGCCACGACCGCTGATCACATTTTGTAAACATGCTTTAGAGCGATGAAAATGAAAAAACTCCTCACTTTAACGTCACACAACAACTATCTTTCTATGCAGATCGACTGTTTTTTGCACTCAACACGTCGACAACAGCGCCACCTCACCGCTCCCATATCCTATTTGCGTATGCCCGCCCTTCTGCGACTTTCAAGATTAAGTTGCCACTATTTAATTTACAACCTCGTATAATTTCAAAAAAAATTAATCCTAAAAAATTATAAAAATGCATAAGTGAATAATTGTTGAGCAGGCAAGAGAAAGACTTATCAAGGAGAAGTTGCCTCCAAACCTATCTGTTCAATTATTCAATACGTGTTTCGTCATAAGTTACATAGCTGATATTAGACAATTTTGATTAGAGCTAACTTAAATGTGATGTATTATATTTGATAATTTTATACATAGAGAAGTTTAAGGTGCACGTTATACATAAGGTTGTTAGTTATAATATTCAACTTTGCGAACTCTCTGTTACTGTAAATCTTTTGATCCTGGTGAGCATTATAATGAAAAATATATGAAAAATGTCTTAGGAATTGTCAAACTACTTAAATATTTATCAATAATAATTATATTAATAATACGCCCACCAGCGGCCGAGCGGTAAAGTCGCTGAACACTGGTAGTTCGGTCCGAGGTTCGAATCCCGCGAACGGGCTGGCTGCATGGGGCGTTTTCGTGGTTTTCCCCATGTGTAACGTGTATACGAGCCAGTTCCCTTAGAAAGTCCTCCACGAAAGGCATCCCTCCCTTAGGCAGATAGCCCTAGTGTGCTTTGCCATAATTAAATACACACACACATATATTAATAATACAGCAATTTAAATTCTATTGCTGAAAATTAGGGCATTTGTTTTTCTTTTTATATAGGAACACTAAATAAAAAATTTCAAGATTTAGTTTCAAAGCTGAATTGATTTTTATAAAATTTTAATTAGAGACACAATTACCGATATGTAAAAATAGGCACAAGGGAATGTAAGTCAAAGAAATAAATTAACCCCGACAATTATGTTTTCCTTGATAATAAAATTCTGACTTTTTCATAAGAAAATAAAAGCTTTAACCCCTTATCTGTACACAATACGTTACTGAGAATGTAATTTCCTCTTCAGAACTTCGTGGGCGAACTTTGCATCTTTTAGTTTTGCATCCGCAAACGCAAAACTGCTGTCGGTAAATAACCATACAACATCTTTTTTCCGTTATACACTGCATACACCTTGTGGTCCCCCCTGTCATTCTTTCTCTTTTCTTCCTCAATATTTTTCTGTCTTTACTCTTGCCGCTTTCAAAGACAATTCATTTATTTATTTTTACGCATATGTTTAAACTTGATTTATGGATTTGCGAGCAAAGATTTTTTAACAATAAAAGGTTTCCAGCTACTTTTATTTTTTAAATTCTTTCTGTTTTTCTGTTGCAGATTACACATGAGAGAGCTTTATTTCTTGGTTTTATTTATGCAGCTCTAGAAATTTTTTGCACAACATTTGTTTAGAACTTTTTTTGCTTTGTTTAAAATTTCTTAACTAAATCATGCGTATTTTTAAATTATTAAGCTATTGTTCAATGAAAACAATGTTCATTTAAATAATTCACAATTTAAATAATCACAATTTTTATATTTTATTTATATTCATCACTTACTGCATAAGGAGTAATATCAAGCAAATAGCAATGACTAACTAAGCGCAGTGTTGGTTTTAAAAAATATGTTTAGTTAATTTTTGTAATCGGGTGGCCAGTCTGGAAATTCTACATATTTTTGAAGCTATTTTTACATCGTTTCCAAAGCAAAAATGTAACTTATTTTCAACCATTTTATGTGCGAAGCGGAAGTTGGTGTATCTGATTTTGCTAATGTCTGATTCAAATATGTTTTCAGAAAATTTTGAATTTATTCATTTAGTTCTAATTAAGTGAAAAGAAGGGAATATATTTAGAGAATGATTTCATAAATATACTTCAGTAATTGTGTTTTATTTATTTTTTGGCACACAAAATATGGGAAACTAACTTTAGTTCTGTTGCTGCATTCAAACATAGAACTAAAATGTTTTCATCAAACAGGAATTTCTCATGACACTTATTTAAAAATCTGCGTTAAATGTGCATGAATTTACCAGCTGAATTTACTATAATCGATGCTGCCCGTGCTTGACAGAATGAAAATGCTTCATCTGTGGGAAGGGGATTATTTTCCCAAAATCTCTGGTAGACAGGGATTTTTCTTTTATTTATGTTAAAGGTTTTGGAATTAAGTTAAAACTTAATTCAAGTTGAAACTAAGTTCAAGGTTCAATGCAGTGTGCAAAAGTTTTACCGAGCTCAAATAAAACTGCGGAACAGCGTAGAACTAACAAAGCGCCATTTAATATTTTTCAGCCGGTAACAAAGCGACTTTCACTCGCTTTGTTACCGGCTGTAAAGTTCTTTTTTTGGGGGGGGAAGGGGGTAAATGCGTTTTAGTCATTCACCATCTACTTAGTCCGATTTCTTCACTGTTTTGGTAATACGTTTGAGCTCACCGTTTTGATATAAATGTCTCCAGTGTGGTCGGTCCTATTGAGGTCAGTTTTTTGAAATCTTTATGTAGACAGTAACTTTCCTCTTATTTTGAAAATACACAAAATCTCAACGAGATCGGAGTAAAACTGTAGATTTGTATGAATTGCAGACACAAATAAAGAAATGGACACACATTTTTACATATGATGATGATTTTAATTACTCTAGCTAATGTAATTTCACGGGTCCGGTTAGGAATCAATTATAATTGAAAAAAAATTGCTCTTATTGCTTTTAAATCACCTAGCTTTTAATGAATAACAGAATTTGAAAAAAAAAATGAAATATCTCAATCTTTGCTGAACGACAAAATGCTGCAGAGTGGAAGATAAAAGTATTTTAATTCGATTATGGATCACACAATTGTTTAAATCTCTAAGTTTGTAGAATCATTAGGTTACTTTTTGGAAGAAGGACAGATGTAGAGTGAGCCCCTGGCCGGGAATCGAACCACGGACCTCTGGAATACGCGCCTGACGTGCTAACCACTACACTACGAAGGCATGCTAAGAAAGCGGGAGAAATGCCTTATATATACCTTTTTTTAAAGGGCGACCGATGTTTTTAGGGGACCCAATCGCCATATCCTGGGTGTGGAGAATCATCACCTACCACCCTTTTATTCGGGAGCCACTGTAGAGTCATTAAGTTATTTTTTGGAAGCAGGGCAGATGAAAAATGAGCAACGTCTTCGCCGGGAAATGAACCGCGGACCTCTGGAATACGCGCCGAGCGTGCTGACCACTATACTAAGAAGGCATGCTAAGAAGGCTGGAGAAATATCTTATAAGTTTACTTATTAATTTCGAAAAATAAATATATTGCGATTTCCAATACACTTCTTATATGCCCAGATTTCTGAATGAACTTGAAACATAAATATCTTACGCTTTGTAGAATGGCAACGCTTTATTGATAACACATCGTTCTTTCGCGTTGTATAGTACTTTCCGCGTCGTAGTATACACATGCGCATCCTGAAGAGATGATATGAAATATCCTCGTGTTCAATATTTTGGTGAAGCTCACATGAAAAACATATTTGTAAAGGAATTTTACTTTTTTATTTTGATATATTATATTTATATTGTTAGAAATGCGCTTCTGGCTCTTACTTTGTTCATTACTCCCAGCTCCAAAAGTGGCAATGGAGAAATCTACTCAGGAGTGCATATTATGAAGCTCCAAAGATATACAGCATCTCGTAGCTTAGTATAATCTTGAAAAAAGTGACAATCATGTCTTTATATCTGTACCTACACCTCCCTTATACACATATTTTTGCAATTATGCAGCGTTTTCATTAGATTAATTTTTTTTTAAACATACAGACTCCCCGTACACCACAAATGTACAATACGAGACTTACAGAACTAAAACATTAAGTTTAACAGTTAACTAAAACATTAAGCGTTACATGCAGAAATAAAACGAACAAAAGCAGAGAACAGCAGTCTAGACTTCACGAAAACAGATAAATTCACTGGCCAAGTCACTCCGAACATCTTCGATCGTTCTGCAAGCATAATCTAGGACCATCAAATGTAGGGCATGAGAAAATTAAATAATTTATAATTCTACAAAACTGTATATATTAATTTAATCGTTACTTAAAGTACACAAATTCGCTTCTAATGTACATAAATCCGCTTCGGATATATATTTACATCCATTTAATTACTTAATAATGTTCTTGAAAAATCTATTTTACAAGAGGATAAGGAGAGTTATAAAGATTCAGAATTAAGTTTGCTGTATTAATGATACTTAAATAAATGAGTTAAATGATGCTCATTTAGATTATGTTTTCTAGTGCAATAATTCCCAAAGCATTTCTGTTATCCCATAATAGATACTCATTCATAAAGGAAACAGTAGAATCAGCAATTATTTTAAAATCCTTATAAATGTCGCAGTAGCATTCTTCAAACTGGGTATTTAGTTATGTTATATTCTTTCCATGAAAAAAAAAAATAGTATTTTTAAGAAGTCGTAATATTTAGCAGTATCAATTGAAGACGGATAAAAATAACCGATATTTTGGTTAGAAAATTTGTAACATCTAGTAATTATAAATTTTGTCTTATGTTCAGGGTTTAAAAATTTCAGAAAAAAACCCCTTTTATTTAATTTAATGCTGCCTAACAAAAAAAGAAATGACGATGCTATAATTAACTGATTATCATTTTATTATCAGTCACTTTTATTTGATAATCTTGTAAAATGTGAAGCTTTAACTGGAAATATTAAGTGGATCTGAGAGCAAATTCAGCTAAGATCTAAATCTTGAAACTGAGATTTAGGATTACTTCACCTCCATCCACCACAGATAGAGGAAATTAAGACAAGAAATAAGCAAAAGAACATTTAACTCAGCAGTCACGAGAAGTCTTATTCAAGAAAGAAGATTGCATTGCA